TTAAGGCTCGTTTGTCCTGGGCGGTCATAGAACCGTAGTTCTGTCTCTGGACCTATATGATAAAGCGTCACTTGTCATTACACCACATCCGCCTAAAGTAGTTATTGCTGCATATAAATACAGTCTTTACCTTGAAACTTCTATGCGGGATTAGTGCTGCCCGAAAATGGAGATACGAGAATACAGGAATGAGAAGATTAAGATTCGCTTGGGTTTCTGCTTTCGAGATTTTGAGTTTATTAAGGTGAGCGAAGGAAGAGGAACTCTGACCATAACTCTGACCTACCCCTCACCATTAATATTCAGTGTGGAAGGGCTCCCTCTACTTCGTCCGTAGGCGTTTCAGGGGAACATCATTCTTTCTTATGAAAATATTATGCTGGTCAAAACGATATTGTTGAGTTTTTCAGATAGGCAGTCAGTTTGTTCCGGATCTTAACAGAACGCTGTACGTATTCATTGCAAAAGGTCCGGCAGGCGATCCAAGAGGTAATACTTAGCAGGTAGATTTTGTTGGCAGTGAAGATCCGCTGTCAGGATGCCAACGGTGAGGGAAGGAAATGTCTGTGCTGAAAAATGAGCCCAAACGCATTCATTCGGTGGAAGACCGTTACTATCGGACACATAATGCTTCTCAACCTCATCTACAGTCATAACTGAACAAAAATCTGTGGAAGGAAGAATCCTGAAGTGATCCGCTAGCGAAAACTGTGGGCTAAGCCTTCAGAGGAAAGCTAAAATTTGGGGGTGCAACCTTTATAGGGTATTCATTTTCCTGGGATCCATTAAGTGTGTCCTTGAGGTGGGAAGAGGATTGTAGGGTGCAAGCCGTAGGTGTGCTTTCAGAGTGATCAAAAAAGTTGTAATTGTAACGCTAATTTGAGCCGCTTCTCGGGGCCCATTATGAGCTGGTTTCCGCCTCAGTTTTTATGATGAACACCATCTTGAAGCTATAAAGACCCAAACTGGATCATTTGCACTCACAGGTCTCTCAGAAAAAAGGAAACGAAAGCAATCCTGCATGCTCTTATAAATTGTAAAGAGTGAACCACTTATGGATTCCAATTTGGGCCTGAAAGTGCCAAGATGACTTTTCTACTAGTCCAAGGGTCTTCAAGCTCCTTTCTTCCTTAGAAACTAGAATTGCCACCTTGCGACAGTGGTCTGACGGGAATCAAGCTCGAATGCAATGGGACCAAATATGTGATTCACCTTGAGTGGCTTGAATTTGTCAAGGTTTGAACTATCACTTCTACCCATTATTTATTCCACTTCCTTACCAAAATTTATTCAGTCTTATCCAAACAATCAACAAACAAACCAACATCTTGGAATAACCGTTTATTCCAGCAATTGGTATTCATGGACTCGATCCGAAGTTGCCAACCTTCCCCTATATCCATCCCCAGCCGGTGAACCTCGTCGAAGTTGTGAAGAGAGAAGCAGCGCATCCTCCTGAAGCAGCGCATCCTCCTCCTGCCAAGAAAGGTTAGTTACATTCGGCTACTTTCTTAAGTCTTTTAGCAGGTACGGTATTCCATATCAGAATTGGGTTCATAGGTGCTCTCGATGTGAATAAAGGTAGGTTGCGGATTTTTAACTTTCATGTCGATTGTCAGTCCTCTCTCACCCTTATGAGGTTTGTTGAATGAAACATTGTACATGTCTTTACCGAGGAAGCACCATAAATCTTCTTTGAAAGGACTATTGAACGGTTAAATTAAATTAGATACTCTTATTGGAATCATCCACCGAAGATGGTTCAATGCAGGTGCTACAAGAAAACTTAACCTCTTTAGAAGTGGTTTTTGATTGTAGGTCATTTGCTAACAATTTCCCTCGACTTATCTGTGAAGCGGATATTTTAATACGGGTTAGTACTTTCTTCAGCCATGTAATGAGGCCTTTGAGGGCAAAACAGGGCTTCTTCAATCTCTAAGAACATCTCGATACCAGCAACAAGGACAGGGAGCTTTCCCATCTATAAGTGATGCCCTATCGGGAATCGGTTGAAGAATGAGTAAACAAATCGTCAGAGCCTTATATCGTATGAAACACATTCATGCTGGTCTCACAGAGCCGACCCACCTCGTCCAAATATTCCCTTTGGAGTCCATTCGAAATATGACATTGTAAGAGTATCGCTGAGCTCAGGATGCAGTCATTTTCAGGTGGGGCTCTAGCAACCAATTCTTCCCTTCAAGGGGTCTACAATTAAATGTTGTGTGGTAGTACATAGTGAACTATCATCTCTAATGTAATTATAAACAAAAAATAAATAAACAGGTAAAAACAAGCAAGTTCATACTGAATGCACCTCATCTGTCTTTTCTTTTTCATTCTC